TAGACAACCAAAACTCCAGAACCTGCAGCCGAAAGGAAACAGGCAATCCCGTGACCCTATCTAGCCGTCTCTCTCTCTCCTTTATCCTCATCTATTTCTTCTTCGTTCTTCTCTCGTGAGTCTCAAATCTCGATCACACAACTGACAGAGCGCATAGGAGCATACCTGCGGCAGCAAATCACGTTTGCACGAATACCTGCAGCGACGCAGCATGCGATGTCCGACACAGGCGGCGGCGCCGCGGCGCGTTGCAGAGGATGCATGCCGTGGGGGCCGGCGGTGGTACGGGGCTGTGGCCCGAGCAAGCGCGGACACCGTGATGGTTGATGAGCGTGGCGCATGGGCGAGCAGCGACGAGCGCAGTTGTGCGTGCAGGTGAGCAGCAAGCTCGCAATAACCGGCGACGCTCACCTAGGTACGGTGCCTCTGAATCCTCGGTGAACTTCGGTGGAAACCAAACACCGAACCGAAGAAACTGACACCGAACTACTCGGTTTCTCTGTTTTTGCTAAACCGATCGGTTCCCTTCCCTTCCCAAACCAAAGTTCCCTTCCCTTCCCAAACCAAAGTTTGCTAGCACCGAACAACCGAACCGAACTATCGGTTAAAACCAATTGCCCAGGCTGAGTAGACCATCTGGATATATCATTCAGTTGTACTCTTGTACTTAATCCATCAATTTGCATGGATCTGGTGTTTGTCGGGTTCTGGCAAATTGGCAATATATTAGGAAAAGTCCAAATTATTGCCCCCCAGTGTGTTCACAGGAAAGTTATCTGAATGACCCCCTAAAGTAATTTGTGACCATTTTACCCCTCCGGATCTTTCAAATGGTCCAGTTTACCTCTGAATAACATTTATCTTTTTTTATTTCTCCACATACAAGTTGAGTTTTAAGTTCAAATTTTGTAGGGTGATAGCAGTGACAGTGAATATCATAACTTATGTTAGAAAAAAACACTTTAGGATTTTTTTCATCATTATTTTTTTGTATAATTTTGTATCTGTAGGGTTCATTTATTATTAAATGCCTGAGCTAAAATAATGATGAAAATTCATAATATATTTTTCTAACACAAATGATGTTCTCTATCACCCTACAAAATTGAAACTAAAACTCAACTTATATACGGAGAAACAAAAAAAAATGAAAAATCTTATTAAGGGGTAGATTGGACTAACTGAAAGATCTGGATGGGTAAGTTGAACACAAAATCAGTTTAGAGGGTTATCGGAAAAATGCTCAGGGGCCGTTTGGATCCCTTCATTTTGTAGGAATTGAAATCTACATAATGGATTAGGCTATTTGGTTTGGAATTTGACATTCCATAACATTCCCAAGCTCACAAATAAGTCTATCTCAAATTCTTAGGGTGGGAGATGGAAATGGATTCTATAGATCACTATGCTATAATTCTATTCTCCAACTTATAGCATACTCTTCAACTCACTTCCCCCTACAATAGAAATGCAACATATAAGTATGTACCTTGTATGCCTAACAATAAATATACAAATATATTCCATATATAACTATATTAGCTTAATTAATCTATGCCTAAATTATAATTATTAGAATGAATTCAATTCCAAGGATGCAAACGGGCCCTTAGTGTTTTGTTATTTGCAGATACTGCTGTGCACCACTGACCAAGTGTTTGTTATTTGCAGATATGTTGATTTGTTATTGGGTGAGTTCAAACACTACAAAACAAGATTGGACCATGGAGGAATTTCTAAGGAGGTCAGTGTGAGAGAACTAATAAATAGTTGCTCTCTTTCTTTTTTTTCCTCCCCCTTTCTTTTGACCTCACTTTGTTTTTTTTATCCTGGTGCTAAGTAATGAACTTACTAGAGTTTGTTCTGCTTCATCTTGAAAAGGATGCTGTTCTTTCTTTCTTATGAATCGTTTGATGATGAATTTACTGACAACCTGAGTAAATTCACATATGTGCTTCCCAGCTCCAACACCTTTTGCTAGAGTATGGCGTAGAGAGCATATCGGAAGTTTTAGTTGAAGGTCTCTCTAGAGTGAAAAGGTGCACTGACGAAGGGCGTGCTTTGATGTCACTTGACCTCCAGGTCTTGATTTTTCAATTTAATATTTGGAAGTGAATGCCATTGAGGAATCCATAGTAACGGCTTTGATGTTCTTTCAGGTACTAATTAATGGGCTGCAGCACATCGTATCATCAAATGTAAGGCCGAAGCTGCAAACTGTGGACACTTTCATAAAGGTAAGCAGAGCAAATTAGTGGTAGCCAGTTCCTACGATACCTGGTTACTTAGCGGCAGCACGTTCTGATTACCTAGAGCATTCGCCATCCTGCTGTCCTAGTGGTTCTCCGTGAACAGCAGTTTCATTTGTGTTCATTCTGTTCTTATACTAGTGAAATCTTGGCAAAGAGGATTGCTGCTAACAATTCTTGTGCCAATCAAACAGGCTTACTATTTACCGGAGACCGAGTACGTCCACTGGGCACGGTCTCATCCAGTAAGAACCCTGCAAAACGTCCATCTCTCATTGATCCTATGTGGGAGGTACAAATGAATTTAAACGCTGCTCTTTCTGAACTCAACAGGAATACAGCAAAAGTCAGGTAGTCGGATTGGTTAACCTGGTGGCCACCATGAAAGGGTGGAAACGGAAGACGAGACTAGAAACTGTCGAGAAGATCGAGGCAGGGCCATAGACTCGATGGGGAGGTTTTTGCGGTGATTGTTTTTCTTCTGTTTGCTTCAGCTGCACATAGGAGCTGTATTTTTTTCCCCTCTTCTTTCACCTTAGAATCAATTTTGTCGATTCTTTCACCCTCAGGCCATTCTGATGCTAACACCATCAGGCCATCGCCCGCCCATCCATGGTGTATATTTATAAGCGTTGACCCTGTATTATATGAAGCGAGTGGGGCGGGTTGACACTCACCAAAAGGAATAGAACTGTACACCCTACATGGAACGTTGGCTCAGTAATAAATATGAATCGTTCATAAATACTTGTAGCAACCCTTTTTCTCAGATTATAGTACTGTTGCATTGCATTGCATGTCACAGATGCCTTTATTATGAACTGCACGGATGCGTTAAGAAACATTCGCCCTGTTCGCTTGGCTTATAAGCCATACATTTTCATTCAACGAACAGTATTTTTCTGTCGCAACAAATCAGTCATCAGTACTTTCAGCTATAGCTTATTTTATCAGCCAAGCGAACGGGGCAATTGTACAGTAGCAAGTTCTGGTATTTGTGTAACTAATCAATGGCGCTGCAATAGATTCATGTACTCCATGTCTTAATACCGGTTCAGGTCTGTTTCACCTCCGTATACTTAAGCAACTGTAGCCTGAGTTATTTACAAGCTTTTGAGGCAGGCTCAGTGAGGTCTGTTTTCAACTTTTCATCCGTATTGCCCGGTAGCCTTCATCGTTTTGCTTGGAAGCTGAAGGATGTGATAATCACCGGGACCGACCTCGCATGGTTTGCACGGCCATTACACGTTGACTCTCTATTGGACGGTTGGAGGAGTCAGAGGTTGTATATAGTAGAGGTGTTTAAGATTGCGCAGAACTTTCAGCGCCGACTCTGGTCTCGTACGTGTGCGATCCAAGCCTCGGGATCTCATGCTTTTATTACACAGGTTTTTAAGACGAGTTCAGGCCCGTAACCTGTGTCGTCCGTGTTGCCAATTGCCCTCGCCGTCCTCGACCTACCGTCGCCACTGTGCGAGCAGCAGCAGGCTGCTGGAGGCGTCAGGCGTCAGGGCAACGGGACTGTGCGGTCCCCCGCCCGCGCGCTTCTTGCGTGCGCCGTGCCCGCCGTCTGCGATTGCCCGACCATTCCTGGCCGCCGGACAGCTGCGACTGCTTGCGCTGCTGCTGTCCGCACGCACCAACAGTTGCAGGACGCCAAAGCTGCAGCGGTTTCGGTGAATTCGCTGCCGCGCATGATTACCACCGGTTTGGCTCGCTCCGCTTGGCTCGGATTCCTCTCCTTTGCAGGCTGCTTAACTTCCTGCTCGCTGGTTGCTGCAGCAGCAGGCAGTGGCACACTGGCACGGCGGATTGGAAGGCGTCCATGTTGCTGAAACAGAACTCTCATCTGTCATCATGTGCGTCAGCTTCAGTGTACGAAGGAGGCCAAGTCATTCCAGTGGGGGAAAAGAAAATATCGATTGAGCACAAGTCTTGTCTCACCGCAAAGTCAGTTTGCCAGCACCTCGGATTCTCCTAAAATGGCTCCGCCTTGCAACGCGAAGCAGATTCTCTAGTGAAGCTAAAGCACTTCATATGGAACGTTTGGTAAAACGATTTCGGAGAGCATTTTTGGAAAGGAACAGATAGAACCAACAGTTTTGATTCTATCTTGTTTCTAATTCGAAAAGGGCTTCGGCTTTTTGGTGGCTTCAGGGGCGAAACCATTTTTATCTCATTTAGTAGGGCCTCTTGATAATAAGCTGGAGCTGGAGCTCTGTTAGAAGCCCTCCAAGGGGGCCAAGACCAGTTGTCGATGAACAGAAGATACAAAGAACAGCCCGTGCGTGTAATAAGTGAATGTGAAATGAGAGCTCCGATCGGAGTACATATGACGCTAGTGGTACAAGTGAGCTTCTCATTACACAGGCTACATGGAAGAATGAAGATTCAGGGCATGCAGCTCCGATCCTGCCTAGTATTAAGCTACACCTTTTGACACCATAACTGAACACTATCATCACATACACTGAACAGCATCTAGCAACTATAAGAACTGCTGATTACTGATGAGCTATAGAGGAAACTAGCTATAGAGATATATATACGAGCTGTAGTAGTACAAGTACAGCAGTAAAAACGCAGTACTCCTAACACCCCTACCACCATGCACCTCCTAAGCTGATGTGACCCAAGCCAAAACCACTTGGCCGGCCCTGCACCTAGCTAGCGCTGCTACTCGATCTCTACTACTAGCACCAACAGCTACACGAAGCTGCTAGCTAGCTAGCTGCTCTTCATGGGCTCCGGTCAGGCCACCCTCCGGCGCTTCTTCTGGGCGGTCGGCGGCTTTTGCGCGGCGGGGTGCGGGCGCCAGAAGAGGCGTTCCAGCTCCTCCAGCCGCAGGCTGAACGCCTCCACCTCGAACAGGCGCTTCCGGCACGGCGCGGGGGCCGCGGGAGCCCGCGGCTTCCGCGGCGCCGGCGGGCACGTCCCCGGCGGCTTCACCTGGCTCTCCCCGCTCGTCGGCGTCCGGCAGCGGTAGTCCTCCTCCTCCTCCTGCCACATGGTCGCGGCGGCGGCGGTGCTCTCCTCCGCTACCGCTCCTGCCCCTGCCCTGCCCCTGCCCCGTGCAGGAGGAGCGGCGAGCTGCACGGCGAGAACGCCGGCGGCGCTGGCTTGTAGAACTCCGGCGACGCAGACATGGCGGGTATGGGAATGGATTGCTCGGGCTGTGTGTGCTGGTTCTTTGGTGAGAGCAGGAAGACAAGAGGGAGGTGTGGCGGTGGGTGTGAAATGGAGGAGGGAGGAAACGAGGAAGGGCAGGGGCGGGAGGTTGCTTGAGACGCTTGGTTACCTCTCCTCCCTGGGCTGGGGTTCTTGCTTGGGGATGTGGTCTGCTTTTGGGAGAAAGGGCCCTTTGTTTCGGCCCCTTTGTATTGGGCAGGTGTCCTTTGTACCCAACACGTTCGAATGACACAGTTATTGCATTTAGGTCCTTAATGATGATAGCCCCAAGCCCCCGATCCCCCACACAAAATCCTGCACAGTGCACACATGCATGGTATTGGTATGGATCCTCTACTCCACTGGGCCACCACTCGCTTCAATTATTAGGTTCAATACAATTCTCAGCAAAAATCTTTAGTCCGAATCTCACGGTACTAAAAATATTGTACTCCATACGAAATGCTTACATTCCTAGCATCGTGTTAGCACGACCGCAGCTGCCCAAAGTCGTCATCATCATCACAACACCACCCTCCTCCTTGGCTATCTTGAAAAGGCAGCCTTTCACTCCGGATCTCCTGAAAACCTAATCCCGATTATCGGTACGTCGTCACAATAACAGTGTCGTGAGCTCACTCGGAGTTGAATGTTGATTAGTTCATACAGGCACGTTGAATAGACTTGTGGCACGTACGTTCCCACTCAAATCCCTCCAAGAATTCGTAATCACGAAAGCGAGCACGCATCTTTGTTTGAATTTTTTTTACCAATGATGACATACGGTCTCTCCATCTAAAAAAAACTCAATTCTAGAAAAAAAAAATTCACGATATATCTATGATACTGATTTGATGTCATAAATATTGATGTCATTTTCTATAAATCAATAACCGTAAGCAAACTTAAAATAATTTCACTTAAGACAACTCATATATGTTAAAATATATGAGTTAAAATAGGCTAGCAAAAAAAAGTTATTGTAGAGGTCTAAAAAAAGGAAAAGTTCAATTAGCTAGTTTGACCACCGATTTATGTATATTCATTGTAGAGGAGCCCCCCCCGGCTGGCCCTCTTCTCTCGATGGGTGTGATTACTCCTTGAGCTGGAGGTACACGCGCCTCATATCCGTTGGGCGTACAGTTGATTTGACCCGACACCCAACTATTAGTTCCTCTTATCCTATTTAAACCAAATACGGCACTACTAGTTTTGTACAAGTATAACAATGCCAGTGTGTCATATCGGATGTCGCATGTGGTGTTCGGATACTAATAAAAAATAAATTACAGAATCCGTCAGTAAACCGCGAGACGAATTTATTAAGCCTAATTAATTCATTATTAGCACATGTGTCACTATAGCCGCGCATTTCCGGATAGGTGCTGCGACGATTAGCATGAGGAACTAAACAGGGGCTAAACAAGGCCTAAAATAATCGCCGCCCCGCCTATCTTGCGCGGCCGCCTGGGATTCCATGAGCCGCCACGCATTTCCAGATAGGCGCTGCGACGATTGTGACTCGCCCCCTGTCTGTCTGTCACCCAGGGCCAGGCTCGCTCCGCTCGGCCCTGACGAGCGCGCGTGCCTCACGTACTTGGCTGCCGGAGTCGACGCCGCAGCCCCGCCGCGCGACGCGACGCGACTCGCGATCGCGAGCATCGGATGCTCCCGCCCGTGCGCCTAGATTTTTATTCGTCCGGCCACGTTCCGCCTGTCGCGGCAACCGGCCGCGCCGGACGTCGACCTGTCCCCTGCCGTCGACGACGAGAGCGCCGCAGACAAATGCGAGCTCAGAGTCAGAGAATCCATAGCGCTCTCTCATCTTTTCTTTTTAATTTGAGAAGAAAGTCGTGACAGGTACTCGTCGTTGCCGAGCGTTACTGCCAGTGCTAGCAGCAGTAGTAGTACAATTTTTTAATATGGCGCCGAGAGGGGGTGGTGCCTTTGGTTTGATCAGTTGAAAGCTTGTCGTATATGACATGCGCTCGAGCTGCCTAATAAGCCGAGAGTTTTTATTTATATGAGTTATAGGTTAGTCTTACCGAGGAGTTTCATGACGTTGTTTCAAGACCATTATATCATATAGAATAAAATAAAATATGGATAAAACATCAATTCTCAACGAAAATTTCGATTCTATGGTTTTATAAACATTTAATTTCATAACTTATAGGGAAGGCTCACAGAGAGTCGGTAATCATGCTAAGAATTTTTCGTCCTCATGAAACTCGTTTCTTCTCTCTCTTTTTAAAAACATTGCCACATCATCGAAAATGCTTGTGTGGCATATCATATTAAATGCGTTTTTATCACTGAGAATGGCCTAATAAGCCGAGAGTTGAAGCGGTTCTGTTGGAGCACTCCAAACCAAAACTTTATGTATAGCTTCTGTTGAAATTATTTGATTTAAGGTTAGGTCAGGTCCAATTAAATGCAACAGAAATAACTAGCGCAACAATTTACACGTCATGTTATAATGCACAGACATGTAATATTAATTAAAGAACAAAAATTTATTTCTTCCATCTCTCACTCATCTTCCATCCCTCAGTCAGTCATCTCTTACTCTAACCCTTCTTGTTTTGAGTTTGGAGCTGCAAAACCTTTGTTGACGCCGCACCACTCATGTCACTACATAGCCGCCCGAGCCTGTTCGCGTTGCAGGGCATGTTGAACAACTATGTGGCTCACCTTTCGCCTTTATTAGATTCACAATAGGTGCATATAATAACTACCTATTTAAGTTGAGTCAGTCTTCTATCAAACTCTCACATGGTATTAATACCTTATTGCATTATTGCACTAGCATTTATTATGGGTCCTAGATTGAATACAACAAAAATAAGTAGCTCATTTTAATTGGAACAAGCATCGTGCAACAATATTAAAGTGAAAATGGTATTCTTCCAACCGTCGTATTTTACTTCCATAGTGCACCCACGCATCTCTCCATCCCGTCCATGATCTAGAGTCACAACCTTCTCGCGTACTACCAATCTAGACTAGAAGAGCAGAGCATAATGCTCATATGCAGTCCTGCTCATATATATGAGCTAGAACACGCGGGTCTAACCTAGATATGGAGTCTGATTCCAATATTCCAAGCATATTGGAATGGACGACGTGATCCTTAACTTCTGAATATTGGTTTTTTTTTCTATATAAGTTTGATTAAACGCAAAAAAGTTTGACTTAGGATAATTGTAGAAGTTGATTTAATTCGAGATTATCTTTAGTTTACGTACCAGTACGTGCGACTACTCATAGTACTGTATCTTAAATCTCTATACTAGGAGTACATTGTTGATGAGTAGGGTTTAGGCTCTGTATACCTCAAACCCTACACTCACTCACTGGAGGGTCGGCTTGATCCGGTATGAAGCTCGAGGTCGAGGCTACTAGTTGACGACCCTACACTAAGTGCGCGTGCGGCTCGAGGTCGCTCGTGCTCCAGCGGTCCAGCCACCTTGAATCCTCGAACCTTGATCGTCTCGTGTGTGTCCGGCCTGTCCGTGAAGCGTGAGGTGCTGGTGCCTACCTTCTTCACCTCGATCGTAAAAAGCCTTGCCACTGCATGCGCGTGCAGCAGCTAGTATTTCTGCTATATTCTCAGGTTAACCCCACTAGCATTATCATGTTGGGATCTGTAAACAGTAACTTCGTCGGTTCCACCATGTGGTAACTTCCAGGTCGGCAGCACAGCTCTTAACTTTCGTCCGGACCAAGGGTGCACGTGGAGATGGCAAGAGAGAGTCAAGGAAGCAGGCAAGCGCGGCCGCATCGGATGCGGTTGCTGGCGCATGGGTTTCGGCGCCCGAATCCGCAGCTGCCGTGGCATGGCAATGGCATACTACTCTGCCTGGAATGGGCATGGGCTGGTCAGGTCAGCTTCCATTTTACTACGCCACAACCAGTGCCTTGATCAGTTCAGACTTCTTCAGAGACTCATGCTATGTCTCGTCTCGTCTCCACGCTCCAGGCCAGGCATGTGCAAAGCTGGAGCGCGGACCACGGCTCCACCACGACACGACGCGACCGAGGCCGCGGGCAACCGTTGCCTCGTCACGGCTCGCGCCATGCTCGCGCGCCATCGGCACTCGGCAGCCTTTGAAAACGACGCGAGTCTGCGACTCTGTTCTCTCTGTCGCGAGCTCTACACCGGCGAGTACGCGTGCCCATACTCAGCTGCAGCTCGAACGGCTGCATGCGCCCCCGCCGGCCGCGGCCGCGCCCGATCGAGCTAGCAGCAGCCTGCTAGCCTCGGATGCCGCCGCCCGCTTCCTCACGTCGTCCCTCTCGATCGGTCCCTGTCGTGGACTCCGCGCGGCCGCGGGAGCCGGGTGTCGGCGTGACTACCTCTACCTGTCCCAAGCTCGCGCACCGCCAACGTCGAGTCGTCGTGGACCACGGCACAAGGGGATGAATCACCCGTACTTCAGTCCCTTTTTCTTACCAAATTTCAAAAAGAAAATAAATAATAACTGTGACAATTGTCGCCATTACGGAGGACGTACTGTTGATGAGAAAGAGAGTGGTTGCATGCCGGCTAGTCGGAGGAGGTAAGTGTGGTGGCGAGGCGGGCTACAGAAGATCGGTGATGATGTGCTCAAGAGTGGGAGAGTTCTATTAGCGAGGGAGGGATCCATGATATATTATGGTGACACAAGAGATGTGCTGACGAGGAGCTGCGGCAGACAGCTAGTGGCGGGAGGAAACGGTCGAGCGCGTGTGGTCCGCTCTGCATCCATGACATAGAGAGAGAGAGCTGGACGTTCAAAAAGACATGTTGAGTGTTGGATATGCCTGTAGGCATATAATAGATACCTAACTTGTAAGCC